CAGACTATAATTCAGTTCTTAAAATATATAGACCTGTAAGTCAGAATCTTTGCAGTTGGGTCCCAGGCATCTGTGCTTTTAAAATGTTTCCCAGGCAATCCTGGTGTGAAGCTAGAGTTAAGATCCACCAGTCTAGGTTAAGATTATAGTTTGAGTGTGGGAAATTGGAGCTGTAAAAGGGATATTTTCACTCCATGGGGCACTTCTGTGTTTATATAGCCCCTATCATGCCGTTTCAAAGTGGGGGGGGCGGGTCTCAGGAGCACGTCGAAGAGGAACTTCGCCATCTGTTGTGTACTATTCCGGGAACAGGGCCGTAAGTCTCTGGCCTCATTTCTCAATCCCCATTGGTCAAGACAGCTCTTCCCCTGCCAATTGCACTGGGAAGGCTCGTGCGAGACCTGAGACTTAACACCTTGTTTTTAGGAGGAAAATAGGTAAAGAGAACTGGGAGACGTTCGCTGGGTGGCACAGTCGGGCAGAGCACAGCTCGATTTCATTTCATGGGGAGCTCTGAGCAGAAGCCATAGATCAGCAAGTGGGATGCTTCTGGAGAGTCCAATGGACCCACAAAGAGAAAGGAATATGAGAGGTTAATTAGGGGCAAAGTCTCCTTGCTTGTCTCTGGTAAGAGAGAAAATGTTGGAGTGGCAGACAGGGATCTGACATCAGCCCAGCTCTGCACTAACTATGTAACCTGAGGCCTCCATTCCCTTGTTTGGTTGATGTTAACACATGATCAAACATGAAACTACGCAGAGGTGAGTCAGCAGTGGTACTCTCTTCTATTGTGTGCCAGGGACATACCTGTTCCTCATTGGTTGGTGGATGTGTCCTCCCTAGGCCTTCCAGTGAAGTCCCTTATCTTTCCAATGACTATATTAGCATATTCATATGACAGCTTCAGTTAGTTTTTAGCAGATAGGAACAATTACACAGAACAGTGTTTAGGGATTTTTCCTTTGCTGAAGCTCAGAGATTACTAAGGGATCAATGGGTATGTGCTCCTGAAAGTATCCGCTACCTAGGGTTGGGGGTCAAGTGATACAGTCCTCAGTTACCTGAGGTTCACCTGAGGTTCATTCTACCTACAGAATCCACAGAGTCCTCACATATAAGAAGAAGAATTTATCTTCCACTAAATCAACATTTTTCAGCAACTACTCTATGCTTCACATTCTTATGGTCTCTGAGGAAGATACAAATATGACAGAAACAAGATCTCTGCTCTCAGTGAAACTCTAGGCTCATAGATGAGACATACAGACTCTCAAGGAACAGAAACGTGAAGTGATCTAGAATGGTCTCTACTAGAGGCACAAAAGACACACCCTTGGGCACAGGAGGGGACCATAGGAATTCTAAATGAGAAGCTCTTGATTTAAAGTAAGCTGTATGATGTTAACAGTCAGAGATGGGTCCAAGGTATTCCAGGTGAAGGGAGCAGCATGTACACAAGAGTGGATGCGGGAAACTGCAGAGTGTGTACAGGGAAGAACAGGTGGGGGGGGGGGAATGGGAAGGTGGAGAGGTTAGGAGTGACACAGAGCAAGACTGAACAGGACAGTTAGGGTCTGAGGAACCATGACCGCCAGGCTGATGTGTTTGCATTTGAACTAGCTGGCACTGGGGAGTCATTGAGAGCTTCTGAGCTGGAAGTGATGGGATAGAGACCAGAGATGAGACTACTGCAGGAGACCAGGCCTGAGCTGTCATCACTCACCCACCCATGGAAGAAGTTCACCCCTGGGCTTCATTCAGTGACCCCTTCACCCTTCATTGTCTAAAGCGATCGCTTTAGGCCAGGCTTTGTGGAAGTTGGTGAAAGCCAATTTGGCGGGAAAGTCTGGCTTCTCTACCATCAGCAACTCCAGGGGCATGAGCTGACACTCTTCCAGCTGAAATCCAGCTCAGCAGAAGCCCTTAGAGAATTGCAAGCTCTCATTCTCATGCTCCAGGGTGGTAGGGTTGCTCTAGAAGGAAAGGTCCTTAGGGTATCGTCACCTAAGCACCCTTGCCCTTGGGCAGGAGGAGTCTGCGTGCTCCCTATAGCCTGCCCCCAGCCCCAGCAGCACATCCAATAAATCTGCCTCTTCTCCAAGGGATCTCCCAACTTTACTTAGGTCAAAACTGTCCTTTAGGCGACTATAAGCAAGAAGACAATTCAGCATATATATTCACACTAAAGTGTTAATAACTTTCAAGTTTTAATGTGCTACGTCTCCAAGAAAATGTAGAGAAAAGACTATTTTCTAATAGTCTAATAGTCATAGACTAATTCTAAGGGTTGAATTTCAGCACCAGTCTGCTGCATTTCTGTGAGAGATCTTCCTGGATCTTCAGATCATACCCTACAGTGTCCTCAGAGGAAGGGCAGTCTGACTAGTTGGGTCAGAGCATCACTGAGGACACTCTAGCTTCCAGAAGCTGGCTCATTGAATATCACCCCAGGTGCTGGCTGACGGCCTCCCTCTGGGCAGCAACAACAAAAACAGAACTTTATCTTTTCATCATGTTTTATGGATAACCAAGCACTTTCACTTACACTTACACTGTCTGACCTGGTTCTTAAATCATATTATAGCGAAAGCAAGGATTATCAGGCCCATCTTAAGCAAGAGAAAACTGAGGACTTAAGTCTGGGGCCTCAGACATCCAGGCCAGAGCTCTTTATACTATACCATGTTGCTTTTCCCCACCGCCTATAATTCTCACTTTATTCTGGCTTGGAAGTAAAATGGTTTTTCACTTACAAAATGTCCAAGAGAAGTTTTTGTCAGAAATCCACTTCCTGCCCTCTCAGAAATTTGTGGAACTTGAAAGCATTTTAGGGAATGTCTAGATCACTTGTTACCAATTGTTCTTCTCATTTCCTTAACTTGAGATCCAAGCAAACCATTAGCATGTCTTGTCAACTGTACTTCAAAATAAACTTCAAACCTAACCAGTCCTCAGCTCCTTCATAGCTGTCACTCTTGCCCAAATACCATCTTCTCTTGCCTGAACCAGTCTGGGGAATAAGGTCCCCCAAACAAGCACAAACCACGTTCCCATCCATGGAAACAGGTCTTGGGAGTTGGCTACAGTAGTCTCGGGTTGGAGGTATGAGATGCCTTTATGCCAAGCCAACCAGCTTGGGTATTTAAGGGAGAATGTGTCCCTTCCATCCTGGCTCTTCTTTTCTCTTAAATGGTTCTTAGACTCCTAAGTTATCTTCCTGACTCTGCTGCTCTCTTATAGTTAACTCTCCACTTTAGCAGAAGGCATTGATTTAAAAAAATCAAATCAGGTCAATCCCTTGCTCAAAATCCTCCAGTGGTCTTCTTACCATGGTCTTCAAGGCTCTACGTGATCTGGCCCCTGTCTGCCTTGCTGGTCTCATCTCCCAGCCCTCTCTGATCCACCCGCTCTGTTCGAGTTCCCTTGCCTTGTTTCTGATGTTTGAATGTACCAAGCATGCTTCTACCTCAGGGCCTTTGAAAAGATTGTCTTTCCACCTGACAAGGAAATATCTTTATTCAGATATTTGCATGTCTAGCTCTCTCACCTCATTCAGGTCTCTGCTCAAACGGTTCCTCCTCAGGAGGGTTTTCCCCTAGTCATCATGCTTTATACCTTGTGTTAATTCTTAGCAACTTGAACATAATTAATTAATTGTTGTGTTTATTGTTTGTCTTTCTCACTAGGACTTTGTCTATCTAGTTCACTACTATATTATGAACCTCTCAAGCAGTGCAGATTCTCAGTAATTATTTGTAGAAAGAATTTGAGTAAATCAATTTTACAGATGGAGAGACTGAGGTCCAGGTGGGAGGGCAGGTCAGCACCAGAAGCAAGATGCAAGAGCAAATTTTCCTTCTAATAGGCCTGCGAAATACCCGTTGCATCCGGCTTCCTCCCTCATATTACATAAAAGCCAGGTTCTTTTCCAATATAAAGTTCTCAATTTGAGAAACAGCATTTTAACATCACAGTGTGCTCTACTTTGCCCCTTTGTCTTCTCAAAGTCAAGCTTGTTGATGATCAGGGCTGGAAAGAACCACAAAGGTTGCCTATCAAGCCTTCTATTTTGCAGATGAAGAAACTAAGGCCCAAAGAGGAAGCCCCCAGCTGGACTGTGGCAGAATCAGAACTAGAACCCAGGTCTCTGGACTCCAAATACGGTTACTTTCTGCTTCCCTGCACTGCTTAATATCGAACACCTGATTACTCATAGATTTTATTGTCTCTTACAAAAATGAGTTTTTGCTCCTCATATTGGCAGGTAGTCACCCCCAAATGTACATTTCACAGGGAGGTGGGAAATCATATCCCCGTTGGAGAGCAGCACATGAAAGGGGCCTAGATGCCCCCTCGAGGCCCTTGCGTCCTGGCTGTAGACTGCTCAGCCAGGAGGTGTCTCCGGCATCCCTGAGTCAGGGGAGGAGGAAAGTTGCTAAACTGATCAGTAGCCTCCCTCAACCTTGCCACTTCCTGCCTGCGTGGCCTTGTGCAAGGCAGAGGCAGCTGTGCTCTCAGGGACTCAATTTCCTCCTCTGTGAGATGGGGCTAGCACGCCCTGTCGTACTGGATGAGAAAATACTTTGTGAACCACAGAAGGCTGCACAAGGACGGAGTCTATCATTCTTAGTGACCAAGGTCTGGGAAATAGGGTCCCCAGTACAACCACAGACAGCACCCCCCTGCCCCCCTCCAGCCTTTGGGACTTGGAAGCAAGACCCTGGGGGTCGGCTGCAAAGCTCAGGTTGGGGAAGTTTCAAGTGTCTTTGCGCTAAATCAAACTTTATGCAAAACTTGGCCATGGGGAGGGGGCTTAAGGAAGAATCCGTGTCCCCTTTTGTTCTTCTTTCTTTCTTAAGTGGCTCCTAGACTCCTAGCAATTTGAGGATTATAAAACTAAACAGAACAAAAAGCCCAGAAGTCATCTCATCCACAGCTTCAGCACTTCAGCAAAGGTACGAGGGAAGCCACCCAGACTTACTATTCCCAGGTAGGTACTTAAACAGCTAAAGATCATGAGTATTTGTTTTTAAATACCAAATCATTCCATTTACATAAAGTTCAGAAACAGTCACAACTAACTTATCATGAGAGACATCAGAAGAGTACTTGCCTCTTGAGGAGAAATGGACTGAAACGGGGCACTCAGAAACTTTGAAGGTGATGAAATATTCTATATCTTCATTCGCACGTTGGCTTCATAGGTTTATAGGGGTGTCAAGACTCACTGAACTGTACACTTAAGACCTTTGCATTTTACTGTATATAAATTAGACTGAAATAGACTGACTGAACTGAAATGTTTTCCTTGTAAGTTCTGATATTGCATTGTATGTTGCATTTTCTTTGTTCCTGAAAAATATGGAACGCTTCAAGACTTTCTGTGTCATCCTTGCTCGGGGGCCATGCTAATCTTCTCTGTGTCGTTCCAATTTTAGTATATGTGCTGCTGAAGTGAGCACCATGAGTATTTTTTATGAGAAATAGCTGAGAAGGAAAGAGGGAGTAATGGAAGGAGGGGCTTAAGAGAGGAAGAGACTAGAGGCAGAGACTGGGATAGATATTGGGTAGGCAGAATGGGAAGGGAGGGAGATGTGCAGAGAAGGCAGAAGGAAGCCAGATAGAACCAGATCAAAGTCAGAAAATGACTGGGGAGAGGGAAGTACAACAGAGAGGATTGAGGATAGGGAGTGGGGAAAGAAAGTAAATAGGGGATTGAATAAGGAAGATTTGGAGAGAGAAATTCAAAGAAAGGTTTGGGAAAGGAGAAAGAGGAAAAATGAGGATAAAGATGTGGAAGGAGAGGAGCAGGCATCTGGGGAGAGAAGTAGAATAGAGCATAGAGCAAGACGGAGGGGCTACTATTTGTTCTTTGGCTCGCTCCTGTTTTAGGAAAATTCTTCTCTACTCAATGGGGCTGCCAAGGGCAAGCCTTGAGTGGAAGAGATGTGAGATCATTTGAGGGTGCCTTGGGACAGTTGGGTTGACATAACTAGACTCTGAACCCACAGCTAGAGGCCTAGGAGGGTTCCAGGATATATAGAGAAAATAACATGCATTGTGTTCTGCAGTCTGAGATCCATTGCTCTCCCAGACTATTCCAACACATGTGAGTGACTTTTTAATGTCTTACTTGTTCTAAGCCTTGTCTGGACTCACCAAGCCCCAGAAGCTTTAGCACTCCTTGCTGTGCCTTCTCTTGTTGCTCTAGCTTACAGACACAAAAAGAAAAGGTGACAATTATTCAAGCCATTCAGGACACCTCCCAACCCCTCCTGCCTCTCAACACTGTGGTCTTCGTCTAAGTATTGAGAATACATATGTGATGCCTGGCTGGTGACAGGATTAGTCAAGTTCTCTGCTTCACTTGGTTTCTGAAGATACAGGAATTTTTTTCAGCTCTTATGAACTTGAAGCTTATAAAATGCCAGCCCTTGAAGAGCCTGCAGGGATCATCTGGTCCGTGCCAGGACATTAGCTGGCCATTCCTTGATAAGGAATTATTCTGGGGGAAAAAAAAGAAAAGGAAAAGCTACCAGAACTCTGATCAGGACAGCAAACATCTAACTAGACCACAACCAGAATTCCACAACAGCATGTCTCAAACTTCCTTTTTATTTGTGTGGGGAGTAGGGGAGCACTCTTGACGCTTTCTTCACACAGAGGCTTACAATAACGGTCACTTACATTCAAGGGATTCCTGAACTTCTGTATGTCCACACTGGGAGTCCCTGACCTAAAATGGCTACAACTAGCCAGGAATCCATTAGAAAACTCAGAGTTGAGTGAAAAGAATCCTAGTTTGGAATGTGGAGGTCTGGTCCTTGCTCCAGCTGTGTACTGTGTGAGCCAGAGAATTTCACTGCCCATTTCTAGGCTCAGTGACTCAAACTCTGAAGTTTAGTAGATGTTTTCTGAGATTTCTTTCTAGTTCCAAGTTTCTAGCACCAAAATGAAGTCAATCTGACTTTTTTTTCCTTTAGCATTTTTTGTCACAGTCGAATGGCAAGCAGGCTGCAAGTATCTCTGCCGCTGAGAAAGAGGGATGGAGGGTGAGTTTAAGGTACTCTTCCATTATAAGGAAAAGTGGAGTTCTTTTAGAGTCCCATTACATCTTAATCTACAAGACTCTTTACAGAGTTAATGGAGAAAGGTGACTTGGTCTTTCTAAAATCCACACTCCATTTTCAAATCTGTTCTTAGAGGAATGCTTATGACATTCACTGTCACAAAGAATGCTTGTAACCATCTCCACTTGTCACACTCACACTTTTGCATTTGGTTCTCCTAAAATGTTTGAGCATGATGATGGATAGAATTGTCTGGGTACATTTATGTGTATGCGGCTGAGTGTGATAGTGCATTTGCTTCTCCAGGGGCTGAGTGTTTGAGTGTGTGTAATTAAGTGTGCACATGTGTGAGTGAAATTATAGAATGTGTATGTGTGTAGCACTGAGTGACTATAAAAAGATTGTGTAGATGGTGTGACGTGTGGAATCGTGTGTGCCTGTGCCTGTGCAGGATTTAATTTTTTTAAATAAGCCACTTTTGATTGTGTACCCTCCTCTCACTTCTGTGATTGATTTCACGAGGGTAATGGTGCGTAAAAGCGCTGGTGAGATCTGGGGGCGCCTCCTAGTCTGACGTCAGAGAGAGAGTTTAAAAAGGGGGAGACGGAGGAGAGCATACAAGCCGCTTTAGGAGTCGCGAGGTTCAGAGCCGTTGCTGCTGCCTGCGATCAGCTCCTAGAGTTTGACCAATCGCACTCTAGCTCGGCTTCTCCGGCGCCGCCGAGATGCTGTCCTGCCGTCTCCAGTGCGCGCTGGCCGCGCTCTCCATAGTTCTGGCTCTGGGCGGTGTCACCGGCGCGCCCTCAGATCCCCGACTCCGTCAGTTTCTGCAGAAATCCCTGGCTGCTGCCGCTGGGAAGCAGGTAAGGAAACTCCCTCGACGTCTTCTTTCCCCTCTCCAGAACCTCTCAACCTTCCCTAGCCTTGCCTCTGATCCCTTGGGTGAATTTAAGAGGTGCTCTCAAAGAGTGCCGGTGCTTTTCTGGGTCCTTTAGCTACCAAAGCTCCCAGGAAAACTTTCAAAGTCCAGAATCCCTTATTACCTCTTTGTTTCCCCTGATCAGCGCAGTAGGTCACTGTTCAGGTGAGTTCTTTAGCATTCAAGAAAATTCCAAGACCTTGGTAACTGAGCTCGAAGGGATGATGGCATCGATCCCCGGTGCTGACCGCGGGATGTGCTGACCCAGGTGCTGAAAGCACGGACCTCCGAAGCTGCTACTGTCCTGAGCACCACCTCCCTCCCATGCAGCGGGGTTGGGGGCTAACTGGCACTTTACAGCCAGAACACAATATGTTTACGATTGTGAAAGGTCTCGTTCTCCACAGCTGACTTAGTAAAAATGGTAAGAACAATTCTAGTTTGTAGCTCATGATATGGAAATTGAGTTAAACAAACTGTTGGCTCCTGTTGAAAAACTAACGATCTATTTCTTTCTATGTGTGTATTTTAAACCTACAGAAGCAGAAAACTTGCAGAAACATTTGAGTTTTTAAAGCTTCTTTGTGTACTTGGTGATTATAACAACAGCCCTTGTTTTTATATCCTTAACCAATTTTAAGTGTGAAAAAAAATTGCACAGCTGTGAACATTGGGGTTTGGGTGTGGTTAAATCTGTTTTTCAAGCCGGCTTTTCCATGTCTTCTTCTCCACCGTCCTCATTCTTATCCTCTCTCTCTCTCTCTCTCTCTTTCGCTCTTCCTTCCACCCCGTGCAGGAATTGGCCAAGTACTTCTTGGCAGAGCTGCTCTCTGAACCCAACCAGACAGAGAATGATGCCCTGGAGCCTGAAGATCTGTCCCAGGCTGCTGAACAGGATGAAATGAGGCTGGAGCTGCAGAGATCCGCTAACTCGAACCCGGCCATGGCGCCCCGAGAACGCAAAGCCGGCTGCAAGAATTTCTTCTGGAAGACTTTCACATCCTGTTAACTTTATTGATTATTGTTGTCCGTATAAGACCTGTGATTCCTCTCCTCCAAACCCCGTCTCTCCTCCCTAATCCCCCCAATCCTCAGTAAGACCCTTGCATTAGGAATTGAAGACTGTAAATACAAAATAAAATTATGGTGAAATTATGAAAAAAAGGATTTTGGTTTCTTATTGAGTTCAACCTTTGTGTTCAATACTATATGATTAACTTCATTTGTGATTTCAGTCAAGTTCTTTGAGATAGGCACTCCAAATCTCACAGACATACTGTTTAAAATTCCCTGTGGTAATAAAAGTTATGTTTTAAATGGTAACCCAGATAGTTTGGGTTATTATAAACATAAATAATCTCAATTAACTCTATGAATTCTAGTTTTAATCCAGCAGTAGTTATTGGAAGGGGCTGCCACAAACATCAATTACATTTTAAATACACTTAAAATTATATGTTGAAATGAGTATTAGTATTAATGGGTAGGCAGGCTGAAATGTCCAACTAACCACCAGGCTGATACGTAAAATAAATGATATATAAAAAATAGAAGGGAAAAATCACTTAGAAGTTGGAGGAAAGAAGCTGGCTTAAATAGCTAAAATAAAGTTCTGAGCTTTTAAGATGTGTTTATAGTTTGTGAACATTTATCTAGAGAAGAACATTGCTTTAATATCTTCTTTGACAATCCTCTCTGTAACTGAACAAGGTTAAATAACTGCTTCTGTTTTAAAAGTAAGCTCCTGGGCTTCCCTGGTGGCGCAGTGGTTGAGAGTCCACCTGCCGATGCAGGGGACATGTGTTTGTGCCCCAGTCCAGGAGGATCCCGCATGCCGTGGAGCAGCTGGGCCCGTGAGCCATGGCCGCTGAGCCTGCACGTCCGGAGCCTGTGCTCCGCAACGGGAGAGACCACAACAGTGAGAGGCCCGCGTACGGCAAAAAAAAAAAAAAAAAAGTAAGCTCCTAAATTTTTTTCCTCAGGGGGAAATACCAACTTAATTATAAGATTCCAACATGAGAGCTATGGGTTGCAAGAAACATGTGTGTTGGGTCACCTCAGTGAATGCAACACTATTGAAGGTATCAGAGTACAATATCATAATTGCAGAATAACAGAAGGAGATAACTCAAGACTTCTTTTGATTTTATCAAAGTGAGAGTCAAATAAAAATGCAAACAATAATAAAAATTGTACCTGCTGGCTATTATTAGTAGTACTGTAATAACATACTAAGTGGTACTGCTCAAGACAGAGATAAAAACATTGCTAATTTAATTCACAGAGACCTTAAAAAGGTGTCCCTTTGAGGATGTGCATTTTAACTATCAACTGTATTTCCGAATAACTGCTAGAATAAGAAACCAAATATAGGGCTTCCCTGGTGGCGCAGTGGTTGAGAATCTGCCTGCCAATGCAGGGGACACGGGTTCGAGCCCTGGTCTGGGAAGATCCCACATGCCACGGAGCGACTAGGCCCGTGAGCCACAACTACTGAGCCTGCGCATCTGGAGCTTGTGCTCCGCCACGGGAGAGGCCGCGACAGTGAGAGGCCAGCGCACCGCGATGAAGAGAGGCGAGCGCACCGCTCGCCGCAACTAGAGAAAGCCCACGCACAGAAAAGACCCAGCACAGCCAAAAATAAATAAATTAAAAAAATGAAATTAGAAATAAATAAATAAATAAATTTTAAAAAAGTCCCCTCTCCAAAAAAAAAAGAAACCAAATATAAACACAGAAACTCAGTGTAAATCCCCATAGTATGAACTTTCTGATGGGAGCATATAAACATCTAAGAGGAATTTCTTATTTTACTGAAGATATTTATGTTAGATAATACATGTTTTTAATATGAACATGCTTAGTGGAAGTTAATTCCTGAACAGCTGATCAAACAAGAGAAAATCTAAGCCACTTTACTAATCTCTGTGAAAACAGAACATTCTTTGAGGTACTGGTACATCTTTTATTTACAAGGCATTTAGGAGGGAATTAATGTGTCCACTTAGGGGATCTGTCTCTGTTAAAGGCCTTTTGTACTTCTGGTTACCAACCAACTCAATGGAGCAATAGAATCACATTATTATGATTAAAGCACAGGAGAGAACACAACTTAATAGTTTTCTGAGGAGTGCATAGATTGTATGAGTGCCAGGGGATTTTAAGATTTTAGTATCATCTTTAGTTGTCAGTTCCCAACAGTAGTATGGTAATAATTGGCAAGAATTATATAGTCATGTGCCTATATATATATATATATATATATATATACACACACACACACACATATATATATATATTCTTCATTTAAAGATTAAGTTGAATGGAACATTTAATCACAGTTAGTTACATTTCAGCCTCATTTTTGCCACCTTCAAAGTAGAAGGCCATACTGGCAAGGGTCCCCATATTCCTTCCAGATGTGACTGCAGTTTTGTGCTTCACCATTGACAAAAGTGTTAGAGGAGGACTGATTTTGGTCATTTTAATTAAGATATGGAGCAGAGTTATTTAAAAGATATATATAGAAGGTTTCACTTTTTACTTCCCATTTAGTTCATTTGTGTTCCTCTTTTTGTTTTTATTTATTTATTTTTGAATTTTACTTTATTTTATTTTTTTTATACAGCAGGTTCTTATTAGTTATCTATTTCATACATAGTAGTGTATATATGTCAATCCCAATCTCCCAATTCATCCCACCCCCTTCCCCCCTTGGTATCCATACATTTGTTCTCTACATCTGTGTTTCTGCTTTGCAAATAAGTTCATCTGTACCATTTTTCTAGATTCCGCATATAAGTGATATTATACGCTATTGGTTTCGCTATTTGTTTTTCTTAAGTTTGAGTCACTGCAAGAGTCTAGTATTCTAGCCTGTTTACCACCTAGCCACAACGAACTTTTCAGATTATATTTTCCTTCCTCTTTAATACAACCACAGGCTTCAGTAGTCCTGAACTACCTGCTCTTTCTTTTAATGGGATCGCTTGGGCAAGGTACTCTTCTTTTCTGGGCCTTGGTTTCCCCATCTGAAAATAGGCATACTAATAAAGCCAGTCCCTTAGAATTACAAGGATTCACCAAGATCATGTGTTTGGAGGTCTTAGTACATGGTAAACAGTTGGTAAGTTAGATGTCATAACTGGCGTTATTTTTTCTCTCACATGTGCTGTGCTTTCTAGACTCTCTTCCTTTGCTTTTGCTCTTTCTTGTCATTTCCACAGGTCCAAATCTAAGCCAGCCTTCAAGATTTGTTTTATAAGCTTCTTCCTCCATAAAATTCTTGCTCTGAGCCCTCAGTTGGGATATCTCCCTTCTCTATTAATCTATATCTCTTCCAAGAGGTTTACCTATCACTTCCTGCCATTTATTCTAGTTGTATGAGTATATGTAAGAGGGTGAGTATTTGTGTATGAACTTCCAATGAATAAATATATGTCAGATTCACATATAAGGTGCAATCAGTACCTCAAGCAATGCACACAGCAGGTTCTCAGTGTTCACTGAAGAATGAGTGAATGATCCATGTGCTTGCAGTCTCAAGCGAAGCAAATCTCTATTACTAGGCAACAACATTTTTTTTTCTTAAGAATAGCACAGGAATATGGCAATAGTGGCTATTCTATGCGATGCTGGTGTGATACAAGAAAGACATAGCACATGGTTATAATTTTAATAACCATTGAAGCATGTGATTAGCAGACCCACTCATTTGGAAGCTGCAATCAATCCAGTTTTCTTTAACCATTTTACAAAGTTCCTCAGTGGGGCCTGTTTAACTGTCCACCAACTGTGGACTCACAGTTGTAGAGAATCAGATTCACTAATACTTTAACCACATTTGTTTATTTTAAGATCATACAGATTCACTCTTGGCCCGAATGCAAGACCAGCTTTTTGGCCTTGGCTCAAACTATTCTCAACATACAAACAATTCTGTTTTATGATGACACAAAATACACCTTTAATTATGAATATTAGACGTGAAAGAGGGCTCCGAGATCATCTCATCCTCACCACTCATTTTACTGGAAGCTGACATGTGGAGAGGTTACCTGCCCAAGATAGTCAGTAAGTTGATGTAGAGTCTGGACAAAGCCCAAGTTCCCCCTCTTCTACCTCAGGGTTCTTTTGATGATCTTACTACACCGCCCCCTCAAGGAATCTGACCTTCTGGATAATGGGTGTGTTTCATTAGTCTGAAGTGAATGCCAATTTTTCCCCTGGAACTTCTTCACCTTCCACCAAACAACTGGTCTGCATCTGAGGGAGAATAAGACAATTGATACAAAATAGCTTCCTGTGGTAATAGAAAAGACATTAGGAAGAAATGGTAGAGATACTGATGAAGAGGAAAAGAAATTCAAGGGAGAGAGTTTTTGACTAAATTAGACCAAGAAGCAAGGAATTAGTCTGTCCTGGAGTGGAGACGGAGGGGTTCCCTAGCAAGTGGATGGACTCACACCAAGGAGACAGGACTGTGCCTGTGGGGGTGGTCCTCAGAGAAGTCACGATCCACACCCACAGGCCCCGGGAGGAAACATGTCAACGACCACCTCTGCTTCTTCAGTAAGTGAGAATGAGTGCCTTAATTTCAGGTGTTCACTTTCTTATTATCTAGAATGTGCCTCAGTGCTGAGGACTTGCTGGACACTGGAAACAAAATTTGTATGGTAGGGTCTTTGCTTTCAGAGGACCCAGTCTAGGAAGTAAGACATATTCCTTTAAAATGAGCAAATGCTAAAATGGAGGTTTGTCTAGAGTGTTAGGGATAAAAAGAGGTGCCGGTAGCTCCCTTGCTTTTTTCTCTAAATTATTCTCCTTATTAGTTTTTAAATTATGGTTTGAAAGTGTAAGTGATTTTACCCTTGATGGGATGAATAAATTATAGGTATATAATGATATAATATACACTTTTACAACTTAGTCTAGGTTAGCTTGAAAAGTGTTTATATTCCTCTTTTGTATATGAAGAGGCTGAGGGTGAGAGAGACTAAATAACTCACCCAAGATGTTACCAGCTGGTGAGTGGTGGAGCTGGAACCAGGTTGTCTGATTTCCAATCCAGTGCTCTTCCCACTGTATTTTAGGGGGAAAGGGTGAATTAAAGGGAAACTCAGGGCTTCCCTGGTGGCACAGTGGTTGAGAGTCCGCCTGCCGAT